AAACTGTGAAATCGTGCTCGTTGTTGAGTTTTTCTCTGATAGCAGCTAGACTGCTCTTCACATCGGCTTTCATATTCTAAATATTTGGTTAGTACCGGGGAATGACGGAAAATGGTGAAGGTCCCTTACGCCGCGAAGAACAGCTTGGAGCTCTTCATTGTTGCACTTGTTGACGCTTTCGGAGGAAACGAGGTTGTTGGCCTCTCTCTTCTTACGACCGCCGCATCCGCCACCACCACCGAAACCTCCAAAACCACCGCCACCTCCTCCTCCTCCTCCGCAGCAGCAGCCTGAAAAATAGAAGTCATTGAAGAGGAATGCATGAAAATTCCTTATTGCAACATCGTAAATACTCACAGCCTCCTCCGCCACCACCACCGCCTCCACAGCAACCACCTCCTCCCATATTTCCGAATAGAATAGCTGAAGCGCCAGCTGAGAGGAGAACTACCAACGCTGCTTGGCGCATTCTAAAAATCGCACATTTTAAAGGTCACACTATAGAATCCTAGCACTGAGCAAGGACAAGAAAGCCCCACAAAAATATTGAAAAATTGAAGGCTTCTGCCGTAAATGGATTCTTTACTCGCTTCGTTATGAGCTAATACATTGATGGTGTGCTTATCAATATTTTAATTAACAATCTGCCGGGAATGGTGCCCGACACGGAATGCTTACTTCAACCCTTTAAGTTGATATTTGTTAACACAAGGATCATTCTTGTCAGATTTACCAAAATTCTCTACTGCAAGGTGTCACAAAAGTATATACACACTTTTTGATCGCTCATAACTCTCTTCCCACTGAGTTTTTTCCTAAGTTCAAGTACCCTTCAGTAGAGGAGGCTTCAACTCAGATTTGCGGTATAGAGCGAATCACCCATCGCCCTTCATTTTTGTAATAATACGGTAGGAACTTTCAGCATACAGCTTCATTGTGAAATAGACCGTTTGAACAAAAAGTTCCAAAACAATTTGGAAGGTCATGTAGCAGTGTTTTCAAACGTGTGATTCTATCACGCAACTATTTATGAGTTTTAACAGTTTTGAATGGTTCAATTAAATTTTTGAAAAAGAAAAAAACGTCGTTGCGGTTTGATTGGCATAGATTATGGAAAAAGTCTTAAAGTCCGAATTTCATACTACTAGGCGACTAAGTTTAGCCTAATGATAGTCGCCTCGTTCAGTATCTATTCTGGGAGAATATGTAACCACTGATGGCTTAAAACCCTCTTCAACTCTACCATATTCTTACGGTAACGAAGAGTGCTAGGTGATTCGCTCTACAATGTAAATTCTAGGTTGAAGCTTCCGT